AATGAATCGGTCTCATCTATTTCGGATTGCATGCTAGCGTAATGTAGTATTAGTATGACAATATTCAAAAGTAAAAAGTCATGTGATTTTGGGCGAACTAAGTTCGCTAAGAAAAGTTTTAATATCTGATACACTCGCTTTATTAATAATACAACTTAATAAAAATACATGTATTACATCTCTACTCTATGAATTTTTTGGGGTCGAAACAGTTATAGCCATTTTGCCAAAACTATGTTCACTATCTCCAGAATCAGAATTATGTAGTATTTTGTAAATTGTGCATGCGACGGCCGTTCTCAGAGTCATCAACGCATGTATAAGCAGGTATACGGCACTTGGGGAAGTCATATGCAATGGAATTGTCGCTTTTTCTATTAAACAATACTTATAGATACCCGACTCTTTCCGCATAGCATAGAGTTCTATAACATCGCCTAGAAATGGATAGAGCGGAATATGAATGATTTATGTATATATATAAAATAGAAGTAATTTATTTGTACCTGCGATATTAATAGTAAATATGGTCAGATTCTGTCTCGTTGATGGTTGGTTAAATATCTTTTTAAGGTTTTTCATATTCCTCGTAGTATCAATAGAATCCTTGGAAAAATGTATTAATTTTTTGTGATCGCGAACCCGCTTATCTTGACTGGAATTAGGTCTACCGGTCTCAAGATAAACAATTTCAAGTTCAGCATTTTTCCCTAATTGGGCTACCATCATATAATCGGCTCTTCGGACAATTTTACGAGAACCTTTTCGTGTAGCACTTGCTGAACTTCCTTCTTCGCCCCTTAATTTAGAAAACATATTAATTGAAGCAAAGGTTATGATAGTGGCATATCTTTTCAAGTTAAGCCTACCATATGTCCCATGCTATCGGTTTTCCTGGCAAATCGCTCATCACTATATTTAGTAATGGCGCAAGTAGCTCACAAACATACGATCCTTCATTTATCGATTTCCCCTTCTTTATATATGCTTTGTATTTTGGTGATTTCCAAACTTTAAGCCTATAATTATTTATCAGTTAATGAGCAAAGTAAAATCAGCCAAAGACGCGGAGTATATAAACGGATTTCAGCAAGAACCGCTCACTTACATTGATTCTAACATCCGTTTTGTTAGATCCTGCAATTCTTCGAATTTATCCAACCATTCTCCATAATTAATATTACCCAAAACCTCATCCACGTTAATTTTCGATTCCTCGTTTTGGATAAATTCTTTGCAAGCTTCCATTACATCATGATTCTGTTCTAACTTATATTTTTGAAATGGTTCCTTAAAAATATCACAAACCGACCCAGGCATATTTGTAAAGGGTTCTGACTTGATATCTAGAACACCTGAACAAATCGGATGATCGAAACCAAGATCCTCTACATTTATTTCCTCGAGTTCCGTTTCTATTCTCTCCCACATGGTTTTCTTATAACTAGTGCTCTCAGTTATACACCGTCCAACGTCACGCTTCAAAGATCGTAAATTTGTATTTGCATCTTCATGCCAGGCTTCGGTATTGATTACTAATGCTTCCATTTCTGAGAGTGAACATAGATCCTCAAATGCAGTTGCGACCTAAAATATATTTAAGATTAATTTCCAAGACTCATTTGATAAATAATTTAATTGTACATCGCGGGATCAGATTAGGTTTCCATTTTCATAAAGTCTCAAGTGCCGGCAAAATGCTTGATATGTAGTTACACCCCAATATATAGTATAAGACTAGTTACTGCTGTGTGGGAAGTAATAATATTACAACGGACATCAGCCTCTTCGCTAGTGATTATACCATACTAGAAAACCTAAAAAAACCATGTCATCATATCCATATATTTATCATAAAATAATTTATCACCATACCCGTTTCGCCAGCTTTTTTCCAGTACCAAAACTTCGAAGCTTCTTTACCCGTTCAATATCCTCTGAGGGGACTCGTTCCAAAACTCGCTCCAAAACATTTTCAAAGTTCTCTACCTCCTTTTCGAGAATGCCAGTCCATTCGCCCTGTTCTACTCGTACAAATAATGCTGTGGATATTCTGACAATATCGAGGGGTTCTCTGGTTAAAAGAAACTCTTCCATGTTTTAATATAATAATAAGTT